TAAAGTGTATAAATTCCTAACCTTGGTATTTATAGGCAAAACTTTTCCATTTCCCAAAATATTCTTTCCATGCGGGAGAAGTGGTAAAGTGAGAAAATAAGCTTTTAATTTAATTCGAAACTAAATTAATTAAGCTAAGTAATAGTCAAACCACAAGTGTTAACATAAGGGAGGGAGTAGGTGAGGACCACAAGGGGAGGACCACAACTCCCCTTGCTCCCTAAGCAAACAACCAGCCCCAACAATATGCGGCCAGCTAGCGGGTTGCGTTGGGCACTAAGGTTGCCTTGCTGGTGCCTGGTCCCTCGGCTGGGCCTGCTATGCTAGCCCATGGAACGCTAGCCCACAACAGCAAGCCACACATTAATGCGGGCTGCTTGTTGCAGTGGCCGCTACTATGCCATGATGCGAGGCTCGGTGTTAGCAATAGTCAGCGAGGCCTGCTTGCATGCTTACGAGCTAGCGTTTCTAGCTAGGCCTACTCGCATATTTGCGGGCTAGCACTTCTAGCTAGTGTGCTCGGCCAGCTCGCCTAGCCAGGACACATGCATGGATGTTAGGCTTGCGGCTTAAGCACGTACATGGCTAGCAGCCTTGCTAGTCTAGCCCTCGCATGGCTTAGGCCATTGCAAAGCTAGGGCTTTGCGTGTTGACTTGTTGTTTGACTTATTTTATCGTCTCGTTGATTCCTTGAATCGACTCGACGTTCGACGCTCGGTTTCGACGCTCTAAGCTCGGAATTCGACGTCTGAGTTCATATAATCCTTATTGATGTATTTAATCCTTCAAATTAATTCGTCGCCATAATTCGGTTACACGATTGGGTATAGTCTAGAGCAAGCTGTAAGATTAACTATATTAATCTTACTGATCGGAAGTGGCCTCCAGCTAGACAATCCTATCACTTGACTTCACTGAATAATAAGCTTTCATAATTAATTCCGAACCTTCTATTGGAATAATACACTTGTTTGAAGGACACCATTCCTTTCAATCTACTACTTTTCCTTCCGGACAAGTGTGCTGTATGTGTATTGCCCTTTTCCTATGTCACTTAATGCCTCTTATTGAACTATAAGGTAAGATTCATCGTTATCCTTATTACGTCCAGAAGTGTTTCTCAAAATTTCGAGTTCGGCTGTCAAGTACAGATGATATCTAAAATCCATCTGAGCACGACCATGCATATTCACAGTCTCGCTCTTTGAGAGGCCTTGTAAACAACAAAGACATATTTCCTATTGTTAATAGGAGAACATTCCCACTCTTGCATTGTCAAGCTTCCTTTACTAAAAGGCCTAGCCGCCTGAGTGTTGCCTTTATAGTCCCCTTTTATGGCAGACATTTGACAACATCAAAACAGACTAGTACTTAAACAAGAGAACTTACAATACTCATGGATGAGGAAAGAGGTACCAATAGCCATAATGAATAATATACTTATGACGATTATTAAATCTCTTAAAGTATTCTCATAGGTCGATCTGGTATAGTTCTAAACTTATACCTTTGCAAATGATTTATGACATTCATGTCCTTGTAGCATAAGAAACAGTGGTATAAATCATACTACACACTAATCTCACATGGTCATTAGTCGTCCAATCCTTCAAATGACCTTGATTAGGAATAATTTCGATATGATATTCAATGTTCTTTCTTTATCCAAGACATTGTCTTGATACCCTATTTTAAATATTGTCAAATTGAATGGACTCATTATTTAATTCTAAACCTCAATTAAATAGACATGGAATAATAATTTTGCAAAAATTAAAATTACTCCATAAATGAATGGTTAACTTAGTGTTTTACATCAAGATCTCCAAAACTTAATTAAAACACATGAACAGGGAAATTAGAGCCACTATCCAACGATCCTAATTCCCATTGCCTCGACGTGCTTGTTGTGTTTCACTTGAGGCATGTTTGACCTTTGCAAATCTTGTTTTCACCTCCGGCATACCACTCCCTGATCATGTGAAATTGTCTCATGACATGTTTGACCTTTTGATGTTCCCTAGACTCCCTGGCTCAAGCAATAGCCCCATTGTTGTCACAATACAAGTCTATTGGTCCCTTGATTGAGGGCACAACACCAAGTTCATCGACGAACTTACGAATCCAAACTGCCTCTTTAGCTACTTCCGAAGCTGCTAAGTATTCAACTTCAATTGTAGAATCTGTAGTCGTGCTTTGCTTAGCACTTTTCTAACTGAATGCTCCTCCATTTAGACAGAATATGTACCCTGATTGCGACTTGAAGTCATCTCGCGTCGGTATAACCATCAACAACCATGCCCTTACTTCCACCATAGACCAGACATTTATTGTTGTTCCTTTCATGTACTTTAGGATATTTTTTGCTGCAATCCAATGTGCTTCTCCAAGGTCTGATTGGTATTGGTTCGTAGCACTCAAGGCGTACGATACATTCGGCCTTGTACATATCATGGCGTACATGTTCGATCCAATAAGAAAAGCATATGGAATCTGATTCATTCTCTCTCGCTCATCAGGTGTCTTCGGACTCTGACTCTTGCTAAGAGTTATGCCATGAGACATGGGTAGGTGGCCTCTCTTGGTTTCCACCATATTGAATCGTGCCAGTACCTTATCAATATAAGTACTTTGGCTTAATCCAATCATCTGCTTAAATCTATCCCGATAGATCTTGAACCCTAAAATGTAATGTGCCTCTCCCAAGTCCTTCATTGAAAAACACTTTCCAAGCTAAGTCTTTACAACCTCCAGCATTGGAATACTGTTTCCAATGAGCAATATGTCATCGGCATAAAAGACCAGGAATGCGATGCCATTCCCACTGACCTTCTTGTAAACATAAGACTCATTTGGATTCTTGGTAAAGCCAAACTTACTGATTGCTTCATCAAATCGCAAATTCCAACTCCTAATAGCTTGCTTTAATCCATAAATAGATTTCTTAAGCTTTCATACCTTCCCAACGTTGTTTGGAACCACAAAACCTTCGGGTTGTGTCATGTACACAGTTTCTTCCAAAATCCCATTAAGTAAGGCGATTTTGACATCCATTTGCCATATTTCGTAATCGTAATATGCGGCAATCGCTAGGATAATCTGGACAGACTTAAGAATCACGACTGGTGAAAAGATTTCAACATAATCAATGCCGTGAATTTTCCTATAACCTTTTGCCACCAATCTAGCTTGGTAAACATATACATTTCCTTCTTTGTCAGTTTTTATCTTGAAAATCCATTTGTAACCGATAGGTGTGTAACCTTCGGGCAAATCAACTAAGTCCCAAACTTGATTTTCAAAGATGGAGTCCATCTCGGATTTCATGGCCTCTAGCCATTTAGTAAAGTTGGGGCTCGTCATAACTTGCTTGTATGTCACTGACTTATCACCATCCATACCTAGGATTTCTTGATTCTCAGTTAACACGACACCAAGTTATCTGTCTGGTTGAGATCTTGGCCTTTGTGACCTACATAGGGTGATAGCTTAAGCATTAACATTGTCGGTTTGACTTTGACTTTTATCAACAAGCGCTTCCAAAGCCCTTTGATTGTTGGGTTCCTTTTGTTGCTCATCCTTTTTCCTCCCACTTGTCATTTTGGAAAGGTGATTCTTTTCCAAAAAGACACCATCTTGAGCAACAAATACTTTGTTCTCAGATTGGTTGTAGAAGTAATACCCCTTTATTCTTTTGGATACCCCACAAAGAAACATTTGTCAGATTGTGGTGCAAGCTTGTCAAATATGAGTCTCTTGACATATGCTTCGCAACCCTAAATCTTTAGAAAAGAAAATCGCGGAGGTTTCTTCGTCCATAATTCATATGGAGTCTTTTTTACAGCTTTTGACGGAGCGCGGTTCAGTGTTAGTGCCGCGGTTTGAAGTGCATGTCCCCAAAAAGAAATAGGAAGAGAGTGGTTAGACCCATCATGGATTGAATCATGTCTGTTCCGAGGTTTTCTGTGTCCCTTGGGAGAGTTACAACTTCGAGGCTGGAACCACGCGCCTGTACTTGCAAGATAACAGAGACTCCTTGGGTAGGGAGCTCCGCCTCCAACGATCAAGTTAGTAGATGAAGGAGTTGTAAAGCAGAATGTAAATAGGTGCCAGATGCTAGGACGGGTCTAGCAGGCGGTACCGTGTGGTGTGTGATTGTCTTGGGATTTGTATAATCCGAGTGTTTCTTGTGAACAGTCTCTCCCTCATAAATGAGCATTTATGACCGTATTTATAGCCTTGGGAAGCGTGCCAGGTTCTAGGGTTTTGGCCAACCCTAAGACTGACTGGGCTTTCTTGGGAATTGGGCCCAATCTATTACCTGTTTAGGCAAGGTTGAGAGGGACACATGGCGCAACATAGGAGGTCCATGGTGGACCAATGGAAGCGTGCCACGTGGCAGGTCCTGATAAGCCCAACTGGGTGACACTTGTCAGGCCCTGATTGGTCCACGTGGCGAGAGGTGGATTAAGGGAAAATCCCCCTAATCATTTTCCCCTCACAGGTGGCACGTGTGACCTGTGGTAAGCGTCGTCCAATGAGGAGACGACAGGTGTCGACGGATAGCTTGGCCGAGAATTTTCCCGCCCAAGTTTTTGAATTTGAATGCTCTTCTGTTCATTCTCTCCGTATAAATAGGGTTGGTCAACAAGTCTTTAGTTAACATTTGTTCACTTTGTTTTGAGAAAGAGATCTCTCGGACCCCAGCTTTTTGCGATTTTACGGAGCAGTCGTACCCCGCCGCTTACTTTCTTCTCGGGCGCCTACTTCCAGTCTACTTTAACTTTCGACTTCAGGTAAACATCCATTCTTTGAATCTTTTTCCTCTTTTTATTTTACAAAGTATGGTGTCTCAAGGACACTCGGCACGACCTAGGTTGTCGATTAGTCGGTCACCGGGGACGGCTGAATCCAGGACTAGGAGTGCCGACTCCACTTTTCTAGGACCACCCTTGTCCTTTGCACAACATCCGACTGTTTCCATGTCTGTGCAGGACATCATGGCAAGAATCAAGACTACTGGCCGAATAACCAACTCAGACGACTCTTATACACATTATGACCTTCCTGATCACAGATCGGGTACCCCAAGTACACCTGGCGACTCAATCTTACGTGACTCTGGGGAGTCGTCTCCTGAGAAGGATGCGGTCCCTGCTGGACCCTCTCAAACCCAAAACAAAACTGAGGAGTCGCCTTCTGAAACAGAGGCGGCACCAACCGAACCTTTGCAACCCAATGACTCGTCGGACTCTAGCGACGAGTCGGACGCCACTAGCGAGAGCCAGAACTCTCTCGACTCTGAAGAGATGTATTCTAGGATTCACACAGCTAGAGAGTCTTTAAGTGTGCGATGGGGGAGAACTGGGCCGAGCCCATGGCATCCTACCGAGACTTTTACGCCCCTTATTTTCACCATGTGCCTGAAGGGAGGCGGAAGGTCATGATAGAGAGATTTAGAGAGTTGATCTCCAAGCATGTAATGGGGGATGACTACTTAGTGTCAGTCTCCGATAGAGAAGATACTGTAGTTTGGCCGACTGGTTCCAGCTATGGGGACCAGTGCTTTGGTTGTTATGAGGCGGCTATTAAGGCCGACCTTCGATTTCCTCTTCACCCGGCCGTCGAGGCCATTTTAGACGGATACCAGATTGGGTTGTGGCAGCTGGCCCCCAATTCCTGGTTCAACATACTCGGCTATGTGGCCGGGTGCAAAATGCATGAAGTGGACGCCAGTTTCGAGGCGTTTGCTCAAATGAATTACCTTAGTCGGACTCCAAAAGTAACAGGATCCGGCTGGTATCAGCTGACATCCCATAGGGGATATGCCATGGCACAGGGTAAGGAGAACAAGTGGAAGGACTGGCGAACCACCTTCTACATTATCACTTGCCCTGACAAAGCCAAGAATGCTAAGTACAATAGGTGGAATAGGGATTCACCCTTCCTAGCCAGCAAAGACCTGCCGCCTGTTCCTTCCAAGGCCAAGCGCGAGATTTTAGACGCTGGCTTGTTTAAGGTTGACGTTCAGGCGGACCCTGAATCAAGGAAGAAAGTTTTTGTTCCCTAACAATATGTTCCCAAATACAACTGGTTGTATGATGGGACGTACTTGGCCGCCTGTGGGCTAAGTACCGAGATGTCTGAAGGTAGCTATCCGCCTGTTTCCCATACTGACTTAGTCACTTGTCTATTTTTCTAATTCTTGATTTCTTGATGCAGCTAAAGCAATGGAGAAGGTCTCTGCTTCGAAAAAGGCGGAATCACAGTACCGCTTGGCGGTTTTGGGCAAACGCCCAACTAAGGAGTCGCCAGCCAACAAGCCGGCTGGGGTAAGACTTCATGATTGAATCCAATATCTTTATCTCTTGCTTTTTAGTGAACCCTACTGACCGACTGTGATGTTTTCTTGTAGGACCGGTCGACCCCTCAACCGCCTCCCGAGAAGGCCAGAAAGCAGGCGGGAGGGGACGCGAGCACCCCTCTTCGTCCCCGAAAGCATGTGGCGACCAAACATGGGTCGTCCCCTGCTGCCAACTTCCCTTTAGAGAAGGGAAGGCAACAGGAAAAGGACAAACTTCTTGCCGAGAAAAACAAGGAGAAGGCGCCTGATGGTAAGTTTGTTTACACAACTTTGAGAACTTCTTCAAGTTTGCCAGTCGGATATTAATCATCCGCCACCTGTTGCAGGCGATCATCGTTCTCGGCCAGACCTTGTTGCCATAGCAAAGACTATGCTGCAGGCGGTCCCTTCTCAAGAGAAGGAAACAGTTAGAGGGTTCGACACCCTTAACCTAGACGGCATCGTTGCCCTGTTGGCCGAGGTATTCTTTAAGCCTTCACAAACTCTGCTTCACTTTTGAGAGACGAACCTTTAGCTGACCGACTATTCTTTTGTTTTTGATTAGTCTATGCTGCGAGTGCACGATCTCCGTCGGCCCATCCAAGAAAAGAACAAAGAGGTAAAGTTTGCCAAAGAGCACGCTGCCTCCACCATGGACAAGGCCATGTTTTCTATTTTTCAAAATGAAGTCTTGACGAATGACATATTGCTTGCACAGGCGGCTGCGAATCAGCAAGTCAAGGATGATCTGGAGGCGGCCAAAGAGAAAATAAAGGAGCTCAAGCTCAAAGTCTCTAAGAACCAGGGGAAGGCCGACGCCCATGACAAGGCTGTGAAGGCGGCGGAGGACCCGAAAACCAGCAATGCCCGCCTGAAGCAGCGCCTGGCCAACCAGGAAAAGCAACTGGCCCAAAAATATAAGTCGAGGTTCGAAGAGGAGAAAAGGGCCCTGGTCGCTGACATGATGGAGGATTGTAGCGCCATTATGAAAATGACCCGGGACTGCCTCTATCCAAACGCCGACTATTCAACATGGGGGAACCAGTTTGCCGCTTGCACTCAAGAGCATGACGAGGCGGTCATGGGGGGAGGCGACGGTCAGGAAGGGTCCGAGTCTTCTTCTTCTTCTGAAGAGGAAGTGGCGGTTGTTGGGGCTGAAGGGGAGTCTTCAAAAAAGGCGCCTGAACAGGAGACTGTTCAGAGCAATCAAGTGTCCCCTCCCCAGCAAGAGAAGGCGGCTGCTGAAGGCGAGGTCCCTCCCACTGTTTAAGCTTTTCTGTCTTCAAACTTGATCTAGCCTGCGTACCGTGTATTTATGTAACCTTACCCGGCCAGGGGGCCAGGGATTCTGAATATTTTCCAGCTTGTCTGGCTTTAATTTGACATGAATTGGCGACTGTTGAGTCGTCTTTTGCTGTTACATAAGCTGTTTTTCGATTTTTTTATTTTTGTTGAATTTGCCAAACATTTTGCACTTCGCAACTTAATAGCCGCTTGTATGGCACATCCATGTTAAACTTTTAAGCTAAGATGTTGCACCTTGATGCCGACTGCCCTTGCCCCTGGACGACTAGGTTACTTCTTGAAAAGAGAGTAATTAGTCGGCCATAGACAGACGGACTCTAGTAGCAAACATAACTAGCCTTAATTGAAATGCACTTAGTCACAATGGTAAGGTACCGACTGAATTAACCAACTTATAGTGCATTTCAAGACACAGGGGTTTGCCTAGTTCTTAGAGAACAATCGGCTAGTCACTGTTTTATCGATTGTCACAAGCCCCTTAGTATGTTTACGAGAGACATAGTAGGTGCTATCACATCCAGTCGGACACCGAGAGGTCCTTCTAGATTTCTCAGATTCATTTAGTATTTTTTAGCAGGAATGTTTGTTTGAGTGCCTTTTTGCCAAAGACCAGGCGGACTGCTTAAACTTTTTAGGATTCCGGACCAAGTATGGGAGGACAACTATGGTTTAACTATGGCGTTAACCAATTGTGGCTGCTCTTAATCCTGAGTAGTAGAGGTATCAGTCGTCAATGGCCGACTAATCCCCTTGATTCGTCAATTTTTGTTGACAATTAACTCAGGGGGCGCCTCCTGTATCTATCCCAAGTAATACAGGCGGCTATCCGACGCAGATGTCAACTGCTGACACTTATGTAAGTGTCGAGTTATCCTTGTCTCAAAACGGACGTTGTCCTTGTGGATAGCCGTATAGGGGCCGTGTAAGTAATTTATAGAGCATTATTCCACCCAAATGGGAGCTGCTCTCTGCGAAGAATCTCATCCAAATGGCATGTCGTCGGACGCCTGCTATTTATTAGGACAGGTCGTATTAATTTAAAAACTAAGCGTAATCAAGCGGCTAGGTGCCTGGGTTGATTAGCCGTATGGTGGGCAAACAGGCGTGCCCTTTAGTAAGCATGTGCTGGAGGGTATCCGCCTGTCTTGAGACAATCGGAGTGTACTCCTTTTTGAAACATGTAAAAAGAGGATAAACTTGGAATCTTTCATTAATAAACTTTAATTGATTACATCAAAAGTAATATTTTTTCAGATTGTCTACATTCCAAGTCCTAGGTAGGGGTCGGCCCTCTGGAGTTTCCAGACGGTAGGTGCCGTCCCTGACCTCCTCATAGATTCGGTAGGGTCCTTCCCAGTTAGGAGTTAGTTTTCCCAACTCATTGGCCCTGCCGACTGATTCCATCTTCCTTAGTACAAAGTCCCCTACTTTGAGTGGGCGCTTGTGTACTCTTCTATTGTAGATTCGAGTCATTCTCAGGCGGTATATTTCATGGCGTAGGGCAGCATTGCCCCTACTTTCTGGAAGGGAATCCAATGCTAGGCGCATTGCTTCCCAGTTTGCATCTTCATTATACAGCATAACTCGGAGAGTCTGCTCATAGTGCTCAATGGGTAGGACAGCTTCTGCCCCATATGTTAGGAGGAAAGGTGTTTCTCCAGTCGCTCCCTTTTCAATCGTCCTTATGGCCCAAAGAACATGTGGTAGTTCGTCTGCCTATAGGCCGCCTGCTTTCTCAATCTTCTTCTTTATACCGTTTGAGATGATTTTGTTAAATGCCTCGACCTGGCCGTTTGCTAGCGGCCGTCCGACTGATGCAAAACAGTAAGAAATGCCTTGATCTCTCAACCAAGTTTTGAGAACAGGCGTCTCAAACTGGGGACCGTTGTCAAAAACCATGGACATAGGCACCCCGAATCGAGTGATCACATTCCTCCAAATGAAGGAGATGACATCCTTAGTCTTGATGCCCCTGACTGCTTCGGCCTCCACCCATTTGGTGAAGTAGTCGACTGCTACTAGGATGTGTCTCCTGCCGCCTGATGCAGGCGTATAGGGTCCTAGAATATCCATGCCCCACTTAGAAAAGGGTATTGGGCTATGGATAGCCGTTAGATCTGTGCTGGACGATGAATCAATTTGCCAAACCTCTGGCACTTGTCGCACTTTTTAACTAGATCCATGGCGTCTGCCTCCAGAGTCGGCCATAAGTACCCTTGCCGCCTCACTCTCTGAGCAAGCGACCTACTGCCTATGTGAGAGGCATAATATCCAAAGTGTAGGTCTTCCAAGACCTCTCGCCCTTTTTCTGGGGTAACACATTTCAAGAAGGGTTTAAGGTATCCTCTCTTGTAGAGTTCTCCCTTTACCATTTCAAAACTGGACGCTCGCTTCTTTAGTAAGGCCGCCTGATGATGATCATCCGACAAGGTGCCGTCAGTCAGGTATGTCCTTATTGGGTTCATTCATGTTGAGCTTCTATCAAGGACTGCAACGTTGTGTTCCTCAATACTCCGCTTTTCCATTACTTCCCAGAATACAATTCTAGGAGTGTCGCATGAGGCCGAGGATGCCAGTTTGGACAAGGCATCCGCCTGGTTATTCTCGGACCTTGGGACCTGAGTTAACTGGAAATCTTCAAGTGAGCTTGCCGCCTGTCTCACGGCTTCTAGGTACTTGACCATAGCCGGATGAGTGGCTTCATAATCCCCATTGTATTGGCTGACTATGAGTTGTGAATCAGAACAGGCGGCTATTTTTCTTGCCCCGGCTGCTTTGCACATGCGGATACCAGCCAAAAGGGCTTCATACTCAGCTTCATTGTTTGACGTCTGAAACTTGAAGCGAAGAGCATATTCATACATGTCGCCCTTTGGCGACTGACATACAATACCTGCCCCACAACCATTTGCTGTGGAACTCCCATCAACATAGACTTTCCAGAGTTGGTCAAATTTTTCACATTCTGGTGGCCGGGTCATCTCAACTATAAAGTCTGCAAAGGCTTGCCCCTTCACAGCTTTTCTGGGCTTCAACGTGACCTCAAGAATTTTGATCTCAATTTCCCACTTTATCATCCGCCCTGACGACTCCATGGTCGTCAGGGGCCGCTGGATTGGCTGGTCTGTGTAGACGACCACCGGATGTGCCAGGAAATAAGGCTTCAATTTTTTCACTGCCATGTACAGGGCGAGTCCAAACTTTTCCACCAGTGGGTATCTCAAATCTACATTCTTTAAAACATGACTGACAAAATAGACTGGGAGTTGGCAGCCGTCTCTTTCAGCTAAGAGGACGACAATTAAAGCATGATATGATACTGCGAGATACATGTAAAGCACTTCTTTTGGTAAAGGACTGACGAGTCTCGGCAGGGAATGCAGATGTTCTTTCAGCTTTTGGAGGGCCGACTCAGCATCCGGTCCCCATTCAAACCTTGCTTTCTTTCTGATTGCCTGGAAAAAGTAGAGGCACTTGTCGCCTGCCCGACTGAGAAACCTTCTGAGGGCTGTCAGGCAGCCTGTTAGCTTTTGTACCTCTCGGATGGTGCGAGGCGACTGCATGTCAATGACCGTCTGCACCTTGTCAGGATTTGCTTCTATTCCCCTTTGATTTATGAGGAATCCGAGAAACTTCCCAGACTCAACTCCAAAGACACACTTTTTTGGATTAAGCATGACTCGGTGCCGCCTGAGTGTGGCGAATGTTTCTCGGAGATCTGCCAGATGGTCCGTTTGAAGTTTTGACTTTACAATCATATCATCAATATACGCCTCAACATTTCTTCCAATTTGTTCAAAAAACACAGTGTTGATCATTCTTTGGAAGGTTTCCGGGGCGTTCTTCAGACCAAACGGCATAACCGTGTAACAATAGAGCCCCTGTTCTGTGACAAAGGCAGTTTTCTCTTGATCTTTCTTCCATAGAGGGATCTGGTGAAAGCCTGAATAGGTGTCCATGAAACTCATCAAGGCATGGCCGGCTGTTGAGTCAACTAAGCTGTCGATTTTTGGCAAAGGGTAGCTGTCTTTTGGACATGCCTTGTTTAAATCAGTGTAGTCCACACACATGCGCCAGGAACCATTCGACTTCTTGACTAGCACAACATTTGCAACCCATTCTGGGTAGAAACACTGCCGAATGTATCCCGCGTCAAGTAACTTTTTTACCTCGGCGGCGGCCGCCTGATTTCTTTCTTCACCATGATGCCTTTTCTTCTGTCGTACCGGTTTCTTTTTTGGGTCGACAGCTAGTTTGTGTACCGCCAGGTCTAGACTAATTCCTGGCATCTCATGCACCTCAAATACAAAAATATCTTGGAACTCTTTCAGCAGTTGGCGAAGGTCATTGCCAAGTTCAGTCAGGGCAGTCGTCCCCACCTTAACAATTCGGTCTGGCCGACTGTCATCGAGGGCGACATCAACATGCTCCCCAGCTGGCTGAGGGCGGAATTCATCCGGCCGCTCCTCAGCCAGTGATTGCTATTGCTTATGCTTTTTCTGGACCTCCGCCTCTTGGGTAGACGTGTCTTTAATGGCTTTGCCAGTTGGGCCGTCTGAAGTTACCGTTGTTTTGATGTTAGTGAGGTAACACTCTTTGGCCATTCTCTGGCCCCCCCTTATGGAGCCGACTATTTTTTCGTCCTTCTCAAACTTGAGCAACATAAGGGATGGAATGATAACTTCTTTGGAGTCATTAAGGGTGGGGCGCCCAAGGATCATGTTGTAGGCAGTAAGTTCTTCCACAAACAGAAAACGAATGACCATGTGGCGGCCCTCACCTCTCTCACCCAGACGGACGGGCAAGTCGACTTGACCAATTGGATGGACGACTCCCCCTCCAAATCCTACCAAAGGATGGGAGACAGGCTATATACTCTCAGGCCTGTACTTGAGCTTGGTCAAGCACTTATGGCTGATGAGGTCCGATGAACTCCCTGTCTCAATAAGTATCCTGCCAACTCTTTGGTTGGCCACTTTACACTCGATGACAATTGGGTCGTCATGCGGCCGTCGGACACCACCAAAATCTTTCTCAGAAATAATAACATCAGGAAACGAGGTACCAGAGGTCTCACCCCGATTAACAGAGTTAACATCCAACTGCCTGATGCTATCCTTGTTTCCCCGAACAGTCGGTCCTCCCCCTGCATAGCTGCCTGCTATTGTATAGATGGTGACTTCATTAGTGTCAGAGCTGTCGGCCGGCTTCTGTCTTTTTTGCCTGGCCGACTGATTTTGTTTGGGGGGCTGTTTTCCTTTAGGTTTGTTGACATAAGAGTCCAGAACACCCTTTTCAGCCAACTGATCCAGCAGACGCTTGAGGCTAATACATTTGTTGGTCTCATGCCCAACGTCATCATGAAAATGGCAGTGTTTGCCTTGGTTGCGCTTGCTAGGATCACCCTTCATAGGTGCCGGCTTCTCAAGTGAGAGTCGGCCCTTAACTTCTTTAAAAATAGCATGATTATCTTTGTTGAACTCATACTTGGGGGAATATGGAGTGAACTCTTTTCTTTTCTTACTGGGCGGCTGACCAGTGGAGTCGACCATCCAAACATCTTTTCTCTTCTTATCTTCCTTGGGGGCCGCTTTCTGTGAGCGACTTTCCTTTTTCTCGGACCTTTTCTGGTCCCCTTGCTTTCCCATGTGACAGAGGTCGACTGCCTGTATGTAGGTCTTGGACTCCATCATTGCCTCTTGGAGAGTAGCTACTTTTTTTCTGACTAAGTCGAACTTGAAGTTCGACCCGTCCTTCAATCCCTTGAAGAAGTCGGTATAGGCTACTTCATCCGGCAAGTTGGGTATTTGTATCCTCATTAGATTGAAACTCTTTATGTAGGAGCGTAATCCCTCCTTTTCTTACTGCTGGACGGCTCCTAGATCAAGAGTCGTCTTCCTGGCAGGTATGTTCATAGAAAAGTTTGATGCAAACAAATAGGCCAGTGTTCTGAAGTTGTTGACACAACCGGCCGGCAGATTGCCGAACCACTGTCGGGCGATTCCCTTCAAAGTGGCAAGAAAACATCTACACCATGTGGCATCGTCCAATCCTTGAAGGTACATTAGATTGGTGAAGGCCATAAGATGATCCTCTAGGTAAGCAGTGCCATCGTAGGCGCCTATTAACACATTTTTCACTTTAGCCGGCTGGGCGGCTTGTAAAGTTTCCTTGGAGAAGGCGGTTGGCTGTTCTCCCAGTTGGATCAGCCGTAACTGCCAGTCCAAAGGCTGGACATTCTTAGCCATCTGACCTCCAAAAGGAGGAGGTGGCAGAAAGTAGTGAGTTTGCGGCACATATGGCGGCTGAGTAGCATATGGTGCCGACTGTTGTTGGTGAGAGCTAGAACTGGAGTGGGTACTGCCTGTCCGGATCTCATAGTTTGACCTTGAATGATTCATGGAAGTGTTTTGTACACTGTCAAAAAATCAGAAGTGGAGGTCGACTCAGACTGCTGTTGGCTCCTTTTCTGCTGAATCAGCAGCCGGGCGTCTGAGTAGGATTTCTTTGATCCGTCTGGATGGACCAGGCGGATTGGTTTCCTTCCCAATGTGGCAGGGATACGGTGCTTGGGCAAATTGAGTAGAGGTACCCGCCTCTCCTCTTGGCGAGGGTGGGGGGTTGCCTGACGGTCCTTCAGCGACTTCTTCTTTCCTGAAGAGGAAGGCTTTTTGCTCGACTGCCCTTTTTGGGGGACAGCCGTCTTCTTGTTGATGAGATCTTTAATCTCACCCTTGAAACTTCTCATGATGGTCATAAGATCATTCCTCGAGACAGGAGCTGTCCAGTCGACCGCTTGGTGAGAGTCGACAGATGGTCCGACTGTTTGGCCTGGACCAGCCTGGTCTTGCCTTTCCTGCCTTTCACGAGGGGTAGTGCGTCGAGCTCTCAAGTTACCCGTCTGGGGCCGTGCGAGTCTCAATCTCAGGCTTAGTGTCCTGATCAGAAGAGACGTGAGGCTCGTCCTCTTGGTAGTCGTCCTTTGGATGCATGTCACCATTAGTCGGTACAGATTGTGATGCCATCTCAAAGGTACTCTCCCCATAGACGGCGCCAAAATGTTCCGGGGTTTTCTGTGTCCCTTGGGAGAGTTACAACTTCGAGGCTGGAACCACGCGCCTGTAACTGCAAGATAACGGAGACTCCTTGGGTAGGGAGCTCCGCCTCCAACGATCAAGTTAGTAGATGAAGGATTTGTAAAGCAGAATGTAAATAGGTGGCGGATGCTAGGACGGGTCTAGCAGGCGGTACCGTGTGGTGTGTGATTGTCTTGGGATTTGTGTAATCTGAGTGTTTCTTGTGAACAGTCTCTCCCTCATAAATGAGCATTTATGACCGTATTTATAGCCTTGGGAAGCGTGCCAGGTTCTAGGGTTTTGGCCAACCCTAGGACTAACTGGGCTTTCTTGGGATTTGGGCCCAATCTATTACCTGTTTAGGCAAGGCTGAGAGGGCCACATGGCGCAGCATAGGAGGTCCATAGTGGACCAATGGAAGCGTGCCACGTGGCAGGTCCTGATAAGCCCAACTGGGTGACACTTGTAAGGCCCTGATTGGTCCACGTGGCGAGAGGTGGATTAAGGGAGAATCCCCCTAATCAATGTCTAACAAGGTTCGATTCCTCCTCTTAGACACTCCGTTCCATTGTAGAGTTCCAGGAGGTGTCAACTTTGAAAGAATACCATGTTCTTTAAGATGATCGTCGAATTCATAGCTCAAATATTCGCCACCTCTATCCGATCGAAGGGCTTTGATTTTCTTGCCAAGCTGTTTCTTCACTTCCCTCTGAAATTCTTTAAACTTTTCAAAAGATTCGGATCTGTGCGACATTAGGTAGACATATTGTAGGGAATATTTCAACACTCAACTTTGAGCCCCACTATGATCATACATTTAAGCATGGTGGCGTCCAAAGGGAAAGAAGCTAGAGCAAAAGAGTCGCTAACAAGTTTTAGGAACTTGTAAACCGTCCACAGGTGTGAAGGTTACACCCCATTCACGATCACAGAGATCGCTAACTCCATAGTGGTTCGGAACAATGACTGGATATTCGGGGATGATAGTGCGAATCCAACCTAAAAGAGATTGAACCCGCCCTAAATAGGCCTCTACTTAATTCTTCTCATATTCATGTGCGCCTTTTGATCAACATACAATCATTATATTGATCCTAAGCATATTTAATCTACGTTGGTTGGTTATTAATGCACAAATAAATCTATTATTGGAGATCACTTGAATAAAAATCATATTAGCCTAAATAAAATTATTAATTATCTTATTAGGCGTGATTTCAAGTACAAATTCACTTTAAACCTGCAGAAAAGGGCGTGATCAAGAAATGACAATAATATCAAGCAACATATAATTATTGACACAACAAATCATCATCATAATCAATATCATCATTGAAGCATAATAATATTCAAGATCCTAGGCATGATACTAACATGATTAATAACAAATCCTAGCATGTCACTAAACAATAAAAATCAAAGCTTTATCCCAAACTTGATACTAGAAAGCATAAAAGCATCCTAACATGATACTAGGAATTAAAATACGGCGATTTCATGAAATGCCACTGAGTACTTAAACAATTCACCAAATGCCATCGTGTTTTATAGACTTCACCAAATGCCACTGACAAATAGTATAATGTCATGTTATGCCATTAATGAGGTCTGGCCGTTAGTTCTCCGTTACTGGGAATTGACGATTTTGCCCTTATCGTGTTTAGTGGCTCCATAAAGCCTTTTGACTCCCTGAATTAACCTAATAACTTAAATAATTAAAAGTTAAGGAGTCTAAGTCTTCATCCTCTCACCCTTCTCCGTTCTTCATGCAAAGTCTTCATCAGTCAACCCTGCAATTCGATCAAGGTGGAAGCTTTTTCTAAGTCTAAATTTTGATCAGCAATTGGTAGTAGCACGAAGTAGTAACTACACTTGTATTTGGGGGAACTGAAGTAGTTGTTCGCAAGGAGGGGAAGCAGAGGTAGTCAATCAAAGCTTGAAAAGTGTTGTTACGCTCCCAAAACTAGCACGCAAGGTAACATTTTGTCCATCGATCTTCAATTCGAGTACCGATTTTGTTAATTTTTCTTGATAATCGAATTAGGGTTAGGGAATGTTTGGTTGAGTTAAATGTTGTGATGTTAAGTTTAAAATCATGTTGTTTTACTGAATTACGGGTTTGGCTGTGGCAAATGTGTTTTTTTGTATGTTAGGGTACCAGTTTTATGTGATTTTGATTCATTAAAATGAGATTTTGTGAAGTGTTAGAATATTATATAATTTAGCATGTGTGTGTGTGTGTGGATGTGAATTGTGTGTGTGTTGAGTAACTTGGTAATTTTTTTTGATAGGATGAGTAAAGTGTGGCTGAATGTCCATTGTAGAGATGGTGGTTTTGATGTGTTGATTGATGATATAGACCGGACTAGTTTAATGGATTTGTTTGAGTTTATGTTTGAGGACTCTGTCAAGCAAAATGTATGGCTCCCTAAGTACTTTGCTTTGCTTGTTAAAAACCTAGAACTAATAGGAAACTGGAGTTATGTGTTGATGGTGATATTTTGAAAATGTGGGAGTGGAATGTGGGTAAGGAAACAATAGATGTATGGTTGGAGGAAAGGGAAAGTCTTGGTTTGGTGTTTAAGGATGCTAAAGCTAGTTGGCATAGAAGGTTAAAACAGAAAGTTGAGAGGGATAGGTTAGACATGGAAAAAAAGAAGAGGTTAGCTGAAGAAGAGAAAGCTCAGAGGGAGCTTGATGAACAACAACCTTACACTGTTGCTATAGTGGTTCCTGTGGTAGTTGCTGAGGACTCAGAAGTTGAGTATGTTAGAGTTTTTGACACTCCATTAGCTGATGAGTTTTTCCCAGGCCCATCCCAGCCACAGGCAGAACATGGTTCCCATCCATCAACTCCACCAAAACATTATCAACCCACTTCTCCTGTTAACCAGCCCAGAACTAAAACTGTTAGGAAGAAAATGACACTTAGGAAAAGGAAAACTACAACCCCTCCACATACACCACAACCCTCTCCAAACACAGCAACATCCCCACCACATACACCACAACCCTCTCCAAACCAAGCAACATCTCCACCACCAACACCACAACCCCCTCCAAACCAAGCAACATCTCCACCACCAACACCACAACCCTCTCCAAACCAAGCAACATCTCCACCACCAACACCACAATCTTCTACAATCCAATCAATACCCCCCACCCAAATAGTACCTTCTTCTACAACAGTACCATCTTCCAGTGCAAAACCTACAAATGGTTGTCCTGATAAACCTAAGAAGGGGGCTAGATCTAGACCCCCAGGTTTCAGAACAAAAAAGAGTGTTGGGAAAAAGGTTGCCGAGGGAAGTTAGGAGCAAGGTGTGAGTATAAGGAGATCAGGAAGAAATAGGAAGTTACTAGCTAGGGTTGAGACCAATGATGATAGTACTGAGAATGATAGATCTAATGATGATGACAGTGATGATGATGATTACATAGAATCTGGTAGTGAGCCAGATGATGATGATGTTGATCTTGCTGACTTTATAGAGGAAGAATTTTAATGTTTATATGATGACATTCCTAAGAAGCAGTTTGAGGATTACATTGATGGGAGTTCAACTTTGGACAAGACTTATAAGAATGGAAAATTCTGGACTCACCAAGAA